TATTGTTTGCTCTTGCGACGGATAAATTATAACTGGTTGCAACAAGAACTTATTTAGCCTCAACAGTGGCGGTGTGAGTTAAGATTAATCTATATTTTATGCAATTAGTTGTGGCTTTGATATAAGACAAAGAACAACAACAGGCGCTTCGCTTATAAATTATCCGAAGTATTTGTTCTTTTTTACAGTCGCTTGATGTATATAGCCACGCTAATTACATAGTTACATTGAATTATATATTAGCTATATAATTCAATTACGCCCTTCTATAACGAACCGTACACTAGATAGTTAGTAATACGAGGAATTCCCAAGGGACAAACCTAGAGTTCAGTTCTGGGTTTATGTTGGCGGAGCGGTTAGGAGATCTTCGGTTAATGTAGGCAATAGTAGATAAATGTCACCAGAGAGTAAGTCCGTAGAGCGTGTTGCAATCCTGATTCTGTGTTAACAACTGGCTATCTAAGTTATCGAAATGAGTGTAGAGAAGTGAACTTATATATCCAGTTGGCTGGACGAGATTGAAGATTTGTTCTTTGATCCTTTTATGGATTGTGTTTTAGTTTATTGATCCTGATTTGGGTTGTGACACTCGGCCTAGCCTTGCTTCTGGGAAGTTGTGCTATCCCAGTTATATTGCCAGTTGACCTACGAATTAAATCTATTCTACGACCCGCTAAACTGCGCGATGGGGACATTATTGTTGACCATGGATTAGCAAGAGACAGGGGGAAAAAGGGAATATTCTTTTGCTGGAGAAAAGCATTTTGTCTGAGGGGCGTTATATATGAAGATTAAACGTGTAAGTGTATGTGAAATTGCTAATAAACGCCTTTGATCTTGGAATACCAAAAAGAACAAAAAAGACTCTCTTCTTGACCTGTGAGCAGAGAGATTTAAGACGCAACTTTAGATCTCACAAGCTTGGCAGCATCTGTGATTTTTTTTTTCGTATTAAAACAGCATTCCGTCTACTATATACATAATTTCTAGACGATCGAGTGATTTATCCTCCGGAAGGGCTGTACTCTCCCGAAGGATTGTACTCTCTTAAAGGATTGCATTCTATCGAAGGATTTTCCTTCCTCCTCTTCCCGTCCCACTTTCTGTTTCTGTTTCCACTGTCTGTTTTTGAACCAAGATATAAGCATAAAACGCTTGTTAATCACTCTCACTGCAATAGGAAATATATTCCTCGTGGTAGGATTTTCAGGTATATGTTCAAGCTTATTTCTAAAAGTGGGATTAACTAATAGCAACTAATATAACCCTGGCCCGAGCTATACGATATGTGGCATCGGACGGGTTATATTGCCTAGCACGACAACGCTGACAACTGCTGCCTTGAATCCTTTATCTGTGGGTACATATTCATTGTTTCTACAAAGGGAAAGCAAAGATGGTTTAATTTCCAATAGGCATAGTAAATAGGCACGAATGGATCCTGCCGACTTAAAGCCGCAGCAGGGCCATCACATAGGATATTGAATCCTTTGCATCTCTCCTCCTTCTGTATTTATCATAGGTCATTTATGACTATTGCCGAGCTTGGCTATTTCCCTTACGCAGAATCGTATTCGGGAACTATTTTCTGCAACTATCTCGGTCCAACTCTAACAGAAGCTATGGAATCAGCGAACCCTGTCTCTAACGCTGAGCTTATCTCGGAAATCCAGACGCGTGGCCATTGCCGACGCTACGGCAGTTGTAAGCGAAGCAAGAAATAATGAAAGTGACAAAGCATAACTTGAATCAAAGTTGATTATCCTGTCTCGCATTAACATGTTGGTAAGGGGGGGAAATATATAAATGAAGGCATTGCTTCATCTCATCTTTCAATCTGGCCATCTCACAAGCATTGTTCAAACAAAGGTTACCTACCTATCCATACATCTGCTATAATCATGCGTGTTATCTCTTTTCTCGCTCTTGTTGGCGCTGCCATCGCGCTGCCAGCAACTGAAAGCGCTGGAGCAGCTCCTCCTAGTCGCGCCATGCCTGATATCAATGCCATCAAAGCCGTACCACAAGAACATTTTACAAGCTATCAGACGGGTGGCTTAAAACGCCAGACTCTTAAGTCTGCTGCAACAAAGACCAAGCGAGGCTGGACTTGCAGCACCTCACCAATCTTGACCTGGGGTGACAGCGACACTGGTGGCAAGGGCATTACCATTACTAATGCTGACACTGACTGGAGGGGCTTTTATATTTACCACAATAACTGTGATACTGTTCCTTGGAAGTATATTTGGGTCGGAGCCAACCAGACTCAGTTTGTTTCCTTCCCTGATGGCTTTGAAGGCCGTATTCAACGCGGAGTCGACCAATATATGCTTAACGGCCAGGCACAATGGCTTGGTTCATGGTTTGAGGTTAGCTGGGACGGAAATGGCGTCGGTTGGAGCGACGTCTCCCTTATTCGTGGATGTGATGGTGGTATTTTGACTTGGGGTCTTGATGCTGCAAAGGCTTGGAAGGGATTTACGCAATGGATCCTGGACGGTGCGCCTACAGGAGCGTATGACATGAAGAATGATGGACAATGGGTGCTCAAGGCAACGGAGGGGGTCGATGGTTCAATTAACACAGCCTCTCGCGACTGGGAACTCCAAAAGGTTGGCTCTGACTACGTTTATGTCGATGACTATCACGGTAATCCAGTCATTGCATCAAGCAACGGCCGTTTCGGTACTTACTGGCCCGGTGGCCGCGCATAAAGCCAGCTTTGTTTCTACATGGAGCCTGATTAATCACTCTGGGGGTATATATATATGTACATCTATGTATTTGATGCTTGTATATTCACTTTGTGGAGCCACTCTGTACTTACCTCATATTGATGTAGCTTAGATTCTTGACTGTGCCATAGGACGTTGCAGTATGAGGAGTAAGAATAATGAAAGCTATGTACAATTTAACTGTGTGGCTTTGATTGCAGCATTATATTCGTGGAGCTATTGGGATACTACCTAGGACTTTCCAGCGTTAAATGTAAGATAGTGGCGTGTAAAAGGTATGTTTGAAGATGGCACGCTAGCATTGCTTTGTTTAGCAAAGAGTATGGACTCTTGTTCATCGTCCGCAGCCATTGTTGCAAGAGACATGCTGCACAGCGTTTCTCAACGTCAAGATTGATCTAGCTGAGAGAAAGAGCCTACTCGTTTCAGCTTTTCAGCCTCACTGACATGAAACGCAAGTTTGGTCCTAGAAATCGTGTAACATGCCCCCCTAATACGTGTCGTTACAACGATCAGTTAGAATATTGATTGACATTTTTTCTGGTCGCTTATTGTAGTAGAGATGAGAAGTGTTACGCATTCTAGGTATAAACGATGTTATATGACACCTATGCTGTCACAGTTAACCTATGCCATAACTAAGTCGTTCCTTTTAATAAGCAGCAACTAGGAATTTGGATATTTAACCCATTCCAGCCATTGCACTAGTGTCACACTTTATTGCAATTAACATGAAAATCTGGCGTCAAGCGTGTTAGTGCGCGCACATGTAAGCTGTGCAGATATCGCTACCTGCTATAAGCGGTAGGTCGGCAGTGACGCAGTTTCACAGCTGACTTTACGACTTTGTAGGTGGGGAAATCTGTAGGGCGTTAATTGGATGCATGAATGGCTTGCCGTTTCGACAACGATGACGAGAGAAAGTGGAGTGCGGGATGGGGGGCTGCTGCGTGTAATTTGGTATTTTATGTAGGTGCGGCACCTGTCGTGATGGGCGGCGGTATATCTGGGCTCCGCTGGCTGCCTGGACATAAGTACAGAGAGCAGTGAGCAGTTATTTTAGGTAGATGGGTCTTGACAGAGCTAGAGATATTTGACATTTACATAGCTATATAAAGCCCCTTGATGTGATGGATTGGTTGATGTTTGAACTGGAGACTGCTTGGACTAATCGACATGTGATCAATGGTTCTTAGCGCACTGCCTAATCGAAATACAGGCGCGCCACCCAACAGACGCCGCCTGAAGTAATCTTGGGCAGCTGTAAGGCCTCAAGAGTGGCTCTCTAGCTGCCAAAGGCATCATAACTCGCCTCAGCTTGGACCCAGACCCAAGGCAGACTACGTATAGGTAGGCAATGTCGTTTGATCCGCTTCAGGCGAATCGAGGCCGGACCCTGGCCCATGTTAATTTATCTAAACGAAGATTCAGCCCCGGATAGGGTCATTTTTAGGTGTTGCGCTCGCTTGACTCTTATTTGGGGCGTGAATTGGCTAATATTATGTAGAGCTATACGAGCGTGAATGTTGGGCATGGGACACCTGTAGTCTCTTTACTCAAAGTACCTATAGGTAAAAATACGATAAGAGAAGAGAGAAGAGAAGAGAAAGAGAAGAGAAAGAGAAGAGAAAAAGGGAGAATAGTTTTGTTGGTATCAGCCTATTTTTGCTGGGCTTAATTTACTTGCCTCCCTTGAACCGACGGCGGAACACGAAGCGGCGCATTCTTTGTGGCATCACATGAAACATGGTAGCTAGCGCTTCATGCCATTATTGGCGTGATACAGGTGGATTGCACGTAGCCTTTTGCATCTTCAATGCCCTTTATAGTGCGGGTGCCTAGAGTCTGCAGCTGCTTGCTGCCTTGAAGAGCGAGCAGTAGACGGCGAGAAAGAAAAGACAGCAACATGACAAAACGAGACTATTGAACCTAGCACGAGGTGTAATCAAAATCAGAGCTTCAATTAACCAGCTGCTAGGTCCATTCATTCCTGCCTATCCCGGACCCTGGATCGCCCGCTAGTGCCCGCTGGAGGAGCTGCCCCATCAAATCAAGTCATGCATCGGTCAGAGCCCAAGTGATGCCCCTCGGAAACTGCGCGTAGCTCCTCCATTCCTGCGTCCAACAGCACTCAACTCTGCTTCTACTCTACTCTCATTGTTTTACCACAACAACAACTCTCAACTGACACAGCATATACACAAACACGAATAGCAGACAAATAGCCAGCGACGGCAGGACAGACTCTCAGCGGAGAGCATGGACTTGTCCGACGCCGTGGCGGCCCCTCCTCTGGAACGATCCGTCTCGCAGCAGAGCAACACGTCGTATCGCTCGCACCGCAGCATCCGCACCGGCAAGCACCAGCACCAGCACCAGCACCGCGCGCTGCTCAGTCACCTCAGCAGCTCGGCCAGTAGCATTGCCGAGAGCGACAAGTCACTGACGAGCTTCCCCAGCTTCTCGCCCGAGCTGCCCAGCGCCGACCGCTTCGGTGACGCCATCGATCACGATGTCGCCGGCTACAACCAGCTCAAGGCCGCCATCCGCCAGCCCGACCGAACCGTGCGAGCCAAGGAGCAGAGCCAGGGCGCTTCCATCGTCGACAGCCTGACCTGGCGCAGCTCCGCCCGCGAGGCCCTCTTTGAGGATGCGCCGCTGTCGCAGACCGTGCCCGGCGCTCTGCACAAGGCCGACGACAAGCACATCGAGCGCCTGATTGCACGGCACGGCGCGGTGACGCTGGTCCGCCAGATTGCCAGCGACCTTGCCCAGCGAGATGCGCAGATCTCCAGCCTGCGGCGGCGGGCAGACGAGCGCGAGCGGGCACTACGGAAGATTATACGCGAGTGCGGCCTGTCCAGTCTGGAGCTGGAGACGAGGTTGCGGGTGGTGGAGACGGAGCTGCGGAAGAATGGCCACATTTCAAGAGACGGAGGCGGGCTCAGCGATCTGATGAGCGATGCCATGGGGGGCACATTGACGGAGAGTGCCTATGGCGAGACGGGCGTAGCAGGCGCTACAATAAGAGCCAGCAGCGGCTCTACTCTGCCCAGCAGCTCGGACAAGGCATCGGGCACGGTCAAGGGATGGAAAGACTACATCTGGGGCGGCACATCGCGGAGGACCAGTCTCAGGGATGGCGCGCCCAACAGTAATAGACCTACCGTGATACGATCGCATTCCAGTCTCGCCCACCGACCAGCCCTGCAGGACGACCTCTTCGACCCTCCCACGACTCCGACGAGCAGCGGCCCTGCCAAGAACTCCAGCCGGCCGTCCAGCATACACTCGGCCTCCACTCCCGATCGCAAAGGATCCGCGTCGCTTGCGAGCCTGGCGCTGAGACTCGTGGCCGGCGGCGCTGTTGCCAGTCGCGAGGCAGATGCCAGGGGACGAGCTGCTAGCAGTGCTGCCAGAACAGAGACGACTAGAGCGGGCTCGGTGGCTAGTAACCACACCAACCGCTCCTCTCGAGCCGTGTCTGTTGCTGGTGGCCCCAAGGCGTTGATGGCAATGGGGAGATCGACGCCGTCCAACTCCTCCGCCGGCGTATCGAAATCCCAGGCGCTAGACCCGCGAGGGAGCGGTTCTGGAAACTCGCCTGGTCCATCGTCCCTACGTGCAGACAAGTTTGGGCCTGTGGAAATGGACGCCATATTGCCCCCAGAGTCTCAACCTCCGACGCTCACACGCATATACAACAACTACCCCAACAGCGAATACCTAACCGATCGATTCGGCTTCATCTACGACCAGCGGCGCAAGAAACGGCAACGGGAAGCCTCGCAGATGGCCAACCATATTTCAAATGGTCACCGCAGTGAATTGCTCGGCAACGGCCGAGCGGGCATCTCTCCCAACATGCTCGATGATGTGCAGAGTTCCAAAATGAGCGTATCTAGCGATCCACGACCAGGGAGCCCAAGCAGCCAGGAGGAGAGGGCTGCCGGCGAGGAAAAGGCGAAACGCTGGCAGGACTACCTCAAGATTGCAACCTTTCCAACCGAGCTGCTGAGCCATACGCCTGGCATAAGCGCGACCGCCGTGTCTGTGACCGAAGGTGTTGACGATCGAGCCAGTTCTACATCCAGCCAGCGCTTGGTTGAGCGCTCAGCTCGTTCGCCTGCGATAACACCGACCGAATCGGGACTTGTTCCCCTAGCGAGCACGACGACGGCGATTGACCACGAGACTACTCTCACACAACCCCCGTCCGAGGATCCAACTCTAGGGACCATGGTCAAAGAGGACACGGAGCCGGTAAAGCTGCTTCTTCAGCAGCTGAGCGATCTGCACGATACTCTTCAGCGAGACAAGACTGTCCAGTGGAACGAATTCCTGCGCAAGGTCAGGGCGGAGAGGCAGCGTGAGGGCGAGGCGGCGCTGGCTGCGGCCACGGCAGCCGCTGAAGCTCGATTTGAGCGCCCGGGAATCATCCAGCCGGAGGAGCAGGTGGCTGACGGAGAATTGATTGGCATCTCGAATCTGGGCAACAAGGGCAAGGTTGGACGGGCGAAATGGAACGGCTTCAAGACGCTGGTGCTGGGCGGCATCCCCGTCAGCTATCGCGCAAAGGTGTGGTCAGAGTGCTCGGGTGCAACGGCGCTGCGCATTCCTGGCTACTACGACGGACTCGTATCCCAGAGTGGTGAAGACGACGATCCCACCGTGGTGAGCCAGATCAAGATGGATATTAACCGGACGCTCACCGACAACATCTTCTTCCGAAAGGGCCCTGGCGTGCAGAAGCTGAATGAGGTGCTGCTGGCATACTCGCGACGGAACAAGGATGTGGGCTATTGTCAGGGGATGAATTTGATTACGGCCAATATCCTTCTCATCACGCCCTCTGCCGAAGACGCTTTCTGGATTCTGGCATCGATTATTGAGGAGATTCTCCCTCACGGATACTACGACCACTCGCTGATATCGTCGAGGGCAGACCAACAGGTGCTGAGACAATATGTTCGGACAGTTCTGCCCAAGCTGTCGGCGCACCTCGACTCGCTGTCAGTTGAACTCGAGGCGCTGACTTTTCAGTGGTTCCTCTCCGTCTTTACAGACTGTCTTTGTGCCGAGGCGCTTTTCCGTGTGTGGGACGTGGTGCTCTGTACCAATGATGGGAGCACGTTCCTCTTCCAAGTTGCTTTGGCGCTGCTGAAGCTGAATGAGAGCAATTTATTGCGGTGCGATACGCCGGCTGGGGTGTATACTTATATCAACCACCAGATGACGGAGCATGCCATTAGCATTGATGGACTGATCCAGGCGAGCGAGGGACTAAGACGGGTTGTGAAGCGGGAGGAGGTGGAGCAGCTGAGGGCCAAGGCTATCCAGGCTGAGAGGGATATGCTTGCGGGGAGGGACATGGGAGGGGACAATGCAGAGGTGGATGCGACGGAGACTGTTGTCGATGGTGAAGGTGATGAAGACTCGAGCTGAGTCTGAGCAAATTTACTGCATTTGAAGAGGGCGGTGTTTCAAAAAGGGGGTTGAACAAAGAAAAAGTTTGGTCAGAATCAGACTGGACTGGGGGGGATTCGGGAGCAGAGCAAGATGTTGAATATGATACCCATCACAAATTGTAGCCTAAGCTTGTTACAACTGCCTTTTCATTTTTCCTTTTTCTTCTCTGTTTGTTACTTATACCATATTATCTCTCTTTTTAGAATGTCATTTGGGGGGACTGGTTGGCGGAAGGGGATGGTGGGGAAAGCATACGGCAAGCAAAAATTACAAGTTACTGCTTTTTTTAGAATTGGATTTTTGAAGAACAAAACTGTCTTGTCTTTCCTTGTTTTGTTTTTGCAAAATTTTGGGAATGTGTGGCCTGGTAGCGTTTAGATATGAATGAATACAGTTAACACACATGCACTTGTATGAACAACTATCTTCATCTGCTGTACTGTTAATTAAACCAGATATATGGCTAGATATGACATGATATGATATGATGTAAACATAAAGATGCCTGCTATACCATTGTCTAATCCATGACTATCTATGCCAATCGAGCCTGGCAGCTGACAACCGCACATCATCACTCGCATCCATCACCATTCACCTGCCGCTCACTTTGCCGTCACTTGGTCGCGGTATTCACGAAACCGCGTTGACGTGAGCGTGAGCGTGAACGAGCCCGTGCTTTGTTTATTTACTTGGTTCTCGGCCAATCACCTGGCAGCATGAGCTGCAACTCGATAGCTTAGTTGTATCAGAGGAGCTCAACACCAACATCGCTTTACCCACACCTCTCCTTTGCTGTATCAAATTGTTTCCATATCTGTCGAAACTCGCTGAATAACTACTATACGATGCAAGACGTTTCTGGAAAGTTTACTGAAGAACAGGCTGAGTCTATTGACTCTTGGAGACACTCGGTGCCCAGCCACATGGAGCGTGATGACCCCTTTAGCGACGATGGCTTCACGGCTCGGCCCAGCACCCGCGTGGTCAGCAAAAACTTCCACCCATAATATCTTCTTCTCAGTGTACTGACATTCATCAAGACCTTTCGCGAGCCAGAACGCCCAACGCGCCGCCCTTCCACTGCCGCTCGCCTCGCCTTCCTCCGCGCCGCCATCCCCATCCCCATCTTCCACAGGCGGCCATGCAAGCCTGGCGAAAAACTCCTCGAGGGACCCCTGATTGAGCGTCCGGAAACCGCGCTGGGAATCCGGGACGACGACAATGACGGCGACGGGGCAGCAGCGGAGGCAAAGAACCCACGGCGTAGAGGCGGGCTGTTTAGCCTGTTTAGCCGCAAGAGAAAGCACCGCAGCCCGTCGCCGTCGGCGTTGCCTCCTGTTCCGCAGGTGGTGCTGGAGGTGCCGCTGACGATTCACTTTTTGTTTGTGGGGGCGAAGTCGGCGGGACAGACGTCGTTGTTGTTGTAAGATGAGCTTCGTTTTTTATGTGCAACTTGTTTGAATATTGACGATCAGAAATAGCCGCGCCCGCTATGGCCAATTCATCGATGTAAGGCATTTGAAGCTATACAGGTATGTATACTGGGAGACAAGAGAGATGCTGACTAGAGTCTGCAGTCCAGCGCCATTGCTCGCACCTGTTATGAGACATATGTCAACACCCGCATGTACAACTCCCAGCCGGTGCGCGTCGAAATGTAGGACACGTCGGGCGCGCCGGACTTGAACACGGTGGAGCGGCTGTCGTATGTGCAGTGGGATGCGATCTTCCTGTGCTTTGACATTCAGCAGAAGCCGACGATGCACGCCATCTTGCAGTGGGTGAGTTGCAACTGCTGCTCTCCTTTTGCTCGACTGAGCTAATCGAGCATCTTCAGTGGCATGAGGCTGTGCAGGGAGGCTTTCTCGCCCAGCAGCACACAGAGGTGCTTCTTCACTTGGTCGGCTTGAAGAAGGACGTTCGCGACAAGTGCACGGATCCGAGGCACAGGGTGGCGTGCCCGTTTGATTCGGACGACTTTGTTCCGTTTCCCAGCTGCTGCGTGATTCCGTCTGACGTATGTTGCGTCAACTCCATGGGTGTATTTATATGGCTAATAGCGCGAATAGGCTGCTTGGCATGCTAGACGAATCCGCGCCCATCGATATATTGAGTGCTCTGCCATGACGGGCGAAGGAGTCGATGCTATGCTCGAAGATGCTGCAAAGGAGTCCACTAGACGAGCGATCGAGATGGCGCAGTATATTCAAGCGATTCAGGCTAACAAGAGACGTATGTTCTAAGCACTTGAAGATATCTAAATGGCTCTGGAATATGTTATCGAAAGTGCTGAACAGGATACATTTGTTTGAAGAACATTGTCACTTGATGCTATATACAAAGGAACGCATCTTGCTTTCTTATCGTCTAGGGAAGAGGTTAGCTGGTACCTCTTTTTATGAAGGGAGGGTATGGAAATTGTTTACACTGAGAAATGTCGAATCGGTACATGTACGGTATATTTGAAATGTATGGAATCGGTGGAATGCTTTTTGTCTTGGTGGTGATGATACACGCATACATGTATATGTGGTTGTGAAGAGCACGTGGGTCTGTGCGCTGAAGCTTCGGTACCTGAAAGCTCTACTACTGCAATTGACAAAGCACGCATTCCGTGAGACTTAAACCTCGTCTCAGTCATCATCAGGCTCGATTCCTTTCCGTGAATAAGGCTTCTTTATTTTTGTCAGCTCTGACACTTGTTACAAAATGCGCATCTCATCAATTTTGCTAGCTGTTAGTGATTCAAGTACACCCGACAATCTCATAGCGGCTCATGGTTCTTACAAAAGCGCAGATATGAACGTGTCCACATGAAATATCAATAGGCGAGCGTTTACTCCCAACGCTTCATCATGGCTCGCTCTACAATCCTCCTCTTCGGCCTTGCTGGTGCCGTCGCCATTGGCTCAGCCGCCTTTACAGTCCTCTCTTCTCCCCTCGGAAAGCGCAGTCTCTTGACCGTTGTCGCTTCAGGCATAGCCCTCTTCATCTTCGCCTCAGTAAGTCCCTCCAATTATAGAAACAAGGAGCGTCAGCTAATTACACATTTTAATAGACAAGACATATTCAGCTTCTCTCACGTCGCAACCCCAAACGAAATGCGAGACTGCAGGTGAATACCAATCCGCGAGCTGCTCGTCGGCCACCACTTGACTACAACCTGTTCGTCCTCGGCTCAGGCGGGCACACCAAGGAAATGCTCATGATGATGGACGACGGCTCCCACGACTTCACCAATTTTCATCGTCGCTATCTCATTTCCAGCGGCGACACCATGTCAGAGAACCACCTCGAAGAATACGAAGACAGCCTCAAGACTCTGTGTCAATCTCACCAATCTTCATCCGGCACCTACGACAAGCGCATCGTCACTCGCGCACGCAAAGTCCACCAACCTCTCTGGTCAACGCCCTTTACGGCTCTGCTCAGCATTCTCGACATTTTTCCCGCGCTGCTCGTTCCGCCGGACAATGAAGCAGGCAGAAAATTGCGGTATCCTAGCAGGGTCTTTTCAAACGGGCCGGCTACGGGATTCTTTGTTGCGCTGGCGATACATCTGCTAAAGATGCTTTATGTCGTCCCGGAGAGCTGTATGAAGGTTGTATATATTGAATCTTGGGCTCGTATCTCGACGCTGAGTCTGACGGGCAAGTTACTGTTGCACACTGGTATAGCAGATGTCTTTGTTGTACAGCATGAAGAGGTGGCGCTGCGGTACGGCGTACAAAACGCTGGAGAAATTGTGTTTAATTCTCGCCGCTTGGATGATATAGAACCAAGCCCAGTCAAATGCTAGACTTTTAACCTCCTTTTAACCTTTTTACCTCATATCCCCATCGTCTTTCTTCATATACATCATATAATACAAGAAATGCCAATAAATGGCTTCCACACACACACACGTCTATATACACATCTATCATACCGTCACCGGCACAGGCTGTGCCTCCGCCTCCGCGGCAACCTCCTCATCTTCCAATCCAAACGTCTCAATCTCCGAGCTCGCCCTGGCCTCCCGGTTGGCCGTCTCCTTGCCGGCCCAAATCTTCCAGTTCTCAAACTCATTGTTCTCGAGCTGCATGCCAATGTCCAGCCTCGTCTTTCCAAAGTACGCGCCGACGTAGCGGGCCTCTTCGATTGCTATCCTCTTTTCGATTTCTTCTTCCTGGCGCAGGCGGTAGAATTCGCGGCGGACAATGTCGTATGCTTTGCGCTTGCTCATGTTTTGGTTTTCCATTAACCACAGCTGTCGTTGAACCACGCTAGAAAAACAATTAGCTTGACTTTCGCTTCTTTCCATCTTAAGTTTATTCACCTTTCACCCGTCAGCGGCACACCAGGCTGTCTCAGCCCCTTACTCCAATCGCAGTGCTGGTGATCCTTTCCATCCAGCTCCAGAACCACCCTCGGCCTCGCCAGCTCCCACGGATGGTCCTTGTAGAAGCTCGTCCGCAGCGCATCCTCCGGGTAGGCAATGGTCTGGGGGCGGAAGAGCCGCTTGGGCTTGGCGGAGGCCTTTGAAGAGGGGTTTGGCACGCGGTGGCGCGGCGTGACGTTTCGCACGAGCGTCTCTGACGGCGGGACCGAGTTCATGACGGCGAACCAGGGCGGCGTGGGGACGTTGTAGCCGGGCATGAGCTGGTGCTTGAGCTCTTCGCTGACGGCGCGGTAAACGCCCGCGGGGCGGATTTGCCTGCCGCCCATGATGATGTTGCGTGTGTCGAGTAAACTGTGATATTTGGGCTCTGTAGGAGAGTGTTTGAGTGGAAGATTCGACGATTCGAGACGGCGTACGAAAGCGAATTGTATCGCAGATAGCGTTTGGTTTGGAGGTTATCTTGAATTTGATGTCTGTAAGTCGTCGTGCGATGAATATGGCGAACCAGGAAATTTTGGGGTCGTCGGGGAATCATTCGGCCGGACCCGCCAGCTCTCCGGACTGGTCTTCAACAACAACTCTAAGCCATTGAGCGATGTATTCTTCATAAATGGGACTTGTGTACACGCATAATTCTTTCAATCGCTATAATAAAGATATATTCAAGCTGAAATGCATTGATTTCATCTCAGTGCATCTCCAGGGCGGCGAACAGAACGACTCCATTCATCACATCTCGAGCTTAGTCATCCATCTTGAAAATACATCACGTCACAACCGCACCTCTAATAAGGCAGTCTCATACCCAAAAACAACGAACTTCAAGACCCAACTCTCAAAACGCAATCAATATTTCATAGAAAAAAGGGCATCCAAACAATCCTCAGCATGGCCCCAACAGAAACCGCAGTCAAGAAATCCATAGCGGATCACCTCACCGAATGGGGCTGTAAGTTCTCCAACTCATCCTCTTACACATCTCTCATCCCAACACTCACAACCTGATATCCTTATAACTTATAACTAACATCTCACCAGCCTCATCCCTCCCCCCCTCCCTCCTCGCAACCCTCATCACCGCCCTCCACGCCCGCCCCCTCCAGCCCCTGCCCCTCACGCTCTTCACCCCAACCCTCCTCTTCAGTTCCTACCTCAACCTCTCGGGCTACCCCACCGCCAGCGCGGGCCTCGCCGCCGCCTGGTCCGGCCTGTACGCGCTGCTGGCCCTGCGCCGGCGACAAGGGCTGCGGGCAAAGCTTAGCATTCGCGGCGTGGTGCGCGGGACGGCGGTTGGGTTGGGCGCGGCGAATTGCGTGGCGGGCGGGTGGGTGTATATGCATGGGAGCAAGGATCGGGATAGAAAGGCTAGGGAGGAGAGGAATCGGTGGGGACAGTATGATGATAAATGAGAGGTTGAGAGTGAGGGAATAGGAGTGAGAAGAGAGATGCTGGTGGCGATCAACTAAAAAAGGAGAGGAAAGGAGTATTGCATTGTACTATTATCAATATCGCTGCTGGGTCCAAAAGGATGCATACATGTATATTATCACGACACAGAATGGAAGACAATTCACACAAATTGCACAGCTCGCATTGCCAATACATATTTGTTTAGTATTGATCTTCTACCTACAGGGGCCAAGTTATCATTGACAAAAAGGCCACCAAAATCGCAAACAATCCGCTCATCTCAACGAGATAAAGAGGCTGGCAGTCTGAGGTATTCACTGCTTTCAGCCAAACGCTGGCTAGTATACAGACATCTTGGTACAAAAGAAAGAGAACAAAAAATCCTTTGTGTAGTATCCATAAAATCCAACACTCCTTCCAATTCACCGCGCCAATATAAAAAAAGGATATTGACAAAGAGAAAGAAAAAGAAGACAAGATTCAACAAAAGAATAAAGAAAATAAAATTAAAACGCCCATTTCGCAGATCATCTCAGCTCTTGAAGTTTCTGCGAGCCCAATTCCGTCTCCCAATCCCGATAAATGTGGTTGAAAAGCACAAATCTGTACACCGGTCCTTATGCGCAACACCAAACACTGGTAAATCCTAAAAACCCCGCTCTATCTGGTATTATCCCAGGATTCTCTTGTCTTTCTCATCTGTGTAGTAGATGATTCTGTCGGATTAACTTTTGTGAAAAGAAAATAAATAAAAGAAAAGTAACGTCGGACTTCTGGTCGTGTGGGAGTCATGCCAAAGCTATTCAACAACGCTACTGTGTTGCCTTTTGAGGCAGTACTTTTGATGGAGGGTTATTTGGTAATGCTGTCGCGGGCAATGGCCATCCGAGAGCCAGAGAATAGCCAAATGGCGGCGACACAAGCAGTAAATAAAACGGTCCTCATGAATGACCGGACTTGAACCGGAGTGAATCGCGAGCTTTCGCCCTGGAACGACCGAAGTGAGCTGATGGTCAGGGAGCCAGGCTCAAATCCGGTAATGTACTCGACGTCGCATTCCCGAATCTTCGGTTGGGCGTAAGTCTTGTATTCGTCGACGACACTGTCGACGGTCCAACCAGACAGCTTGCGGACGGCGGCGACGACGCAACCGGTGCGGTGCTTGCCGTGGTTGCAGTGAACCAGTAGAGGGTAATTTCGGCGATCCAGGACAACGTCGAGGATGGAAGACATTGTGCTTGAAGGAATGGCCTCCTTTTTTGTTCCCTTCATGTTGAAGATGATTTGCTGGATGCCATTGGCACCGGTGAAGGACTCGAACTCGTGGTCGATTTCATCTCTCTTAACCAGGGTGCTATATCGCAGTTAGCTATTGTACTGGTGTGCGGAACAGAGAAAAAACATACACTACCGTCTTCAACTTCAAGCCCTTCAAAAAGGCATAGTCGTCTGCCTTTGGGTAACTGCTGCGGTAAACGCCAGGTACAACTACACCGAAGTTGATGGGTCGGCCCTCCATTGGAGCAAGGGCGAACTCTGGTGCGGAATCTGTGGTAATTGAGATGACTGATCCGGTTGCTGCAGCGGCTGATAATAATGTCAATATTTTATATGAACGAGACGAAAACCGAGAGTAAGGGGCAGCTTACCAGATTTGGTACCAGCTTTGGGCAACATCGAGGAGGGCGTCTGTTGACTGGTGGCACGACGCTGGAGAAGAGGGCGAGCGTTTTCTTCAGATAGAAGTAGTTCTTGCGCAGGACTCTGAGTTTTTACTCTCCTCGTTGCGAAGGACAAGCCTTCAATGACAAGTTGTGATTCGTCTGTGGGAAGCTGAGTTGGGAATGATTCGGGAGACTTGAAGGACGCTGCTATCTCTGGAGAGAAGAGTGGGATGTTGTTGTCGGGTAAAATATCGAGTTCCATGCCGTTTTATTTATTCGTGGCGTTTTGTTTACACGCCTTTGTTTACGTTCGTTGTCTAAAAGAGATACTCCTTTTATCTTTTTGCTGATTGTACGTATGGAACTCTATCGTCGGGACAAGGTTCGGTACGGGAGTGGCGTCAGAACAAGCCTTGTGCTTGTCAAGAAAGGTTTGTATTCTCGAGAGATTGGCGTCGTTGAATGGGCCGAAGGCGTTTCTCTGAGTTCAGAGGACGTCTCAAAAGAAAGATATAGGGACAATGATGGGAGCAGGGCGGCGTGTATAGAGTCTGTTCGTGGACGAGATTTTTCTGTACTCGACTTTTGCTGGCGTCGTTCTAGTTGAATAGGCGCAAGACGAGCAAAGGGTTACAGAAGCGTATTCCGTTTGGAAAAAGTAAGCTGCAGTTGAGAAGCCATCGTGTCCGAGGGTTGATGGAGAAGCGGGAGAGCCAATGTAAAAGTACGAAGAGCTTCGGTCAGGAAGAACAGGCAAGGTCGCGTGGGAGGATGGTGGGAGGTGGGAAGATCGCATGCCCTGTTGAGACGATGCTCAGAGTGCTGTAAGTCGACGGAGACCGGGGGGCTCAGGTTTCAATTTTTGGGGGGAATCCTTTGGGCCTAGCACAGCAACTGGACAGGCGAGCACAAGCCGTAGCTACCGGAGTCTGCAGGCAGGTACTTGGGAGGGACTTGGCGGTACCTCGGGGCATTGGCCGTGTACGCCGCTGGAGCAGGGCAGTACAATCCAGCACAGAACGGCGTCGGCGTTACAGTGGTCCCCCACCCCGAGCTGTCACTGGCCTGGGCTACTGTCGACTCCGTGCAGGCCCATGAGAGCCCAGTTTCGGACCCGGAATTGGTAGCATCACAGTGGGGAGCCAGGGCAGCTCTTTCACATTGGTCACTTCGCGTACTGAGAAGGTACCTGCGCAGTAGAAGGGTGGGGTGCATTGCATAGCGCCTCGGGGGACGTTTAGTGCATTCGCCTTCACTGTACAGCACAGCATGGGCCTGTGCTTGCTGTGCGGTGGGCCCTGAATACAGTGCTCGTAGCAGCCAGCTCCGTGCCAGCCAGTTGGGTTCGGCCATTGGGGCCAATCTTAGCGTCTCCAGCGCAAGTCCTGTCCTGTTCTTGGATCGCGGCTGCAGCGGACATCTCGGTAGGCCTAGAAGCGCAGAGAAAGGAGCCCAGGGAAAGGGACTCGCCAGCGTCGAAGCCTTGGTCGCGTGTATTGTCCAGGAAACCGCGGCTAGGTACCAAGTACCACCCGTGGCTTTATTGCGTTTGACTTGGAACTCACTTCATCGTCGCACTTGGGTGTACCTTGCAGGGGAGGCTTACGAAGCAAGCAATGATTGACCTGAAATACCTGCTCGAGCAGCCTTAGTCAGTCCCCCATTGCACTGGAAACAGGTCGCCGGTCGAATTGGAAGCATCCGCGGCGACGTCTGTGGCGAGTCTCAGAGGATTGTCGCTGCCTGCATGCACTGCGCAACGGCCATCACTTTTTTTTTAGATGTCTGGTACCTGCACCTGGTATGCATTCAGATTACCGTTGTTGAAGTAATCAGCCGTGCAGCCTTGGGGCTTTTTTCTACTTGTCCTTTGGGCTGCTCGTATGGCGCTTTTGGGCTGAGCAAGAAAAAAAAACCGGCCGACGAGGCACAATGGATTCAATAGCAGCTGCAAGTCTGACTTGGGCTGCATATCATGATGATGCGTGGAGGCCGAAAGGGTCTCACGCGACTCGGCCTCTTGATAGCTCAGCATGAACTTTTTTTTTTTTTTTTTTTTTTTTTTTTTTTTTTTTTTTTTTTTTTTTTTTTTTTTTTCAATTCTCAATTCTACCCAAATTGGAACCGTGTTTGCTGCACTATATTTCGAGAAGGTATTAGCCAGAAACGCCACTGAGGCAAAGACCGAAAGACTAAAGCCCGCGGCGCAGGGGGGCCCCAGCCTCGCCAGCTACATCTAATTGGACCCTGAGACGCTTTTCGTCATGTCATTCAGCAGCCCGAGATTTGCTGCGCGTCCGTTTTAATTCGCTTCATGTGCTTGGCTGCAGCAATATGCAGGTGTGTCTGCCCTTGCGAAGGATACCTAAATACGCTTGTCTTTACCAATGTCTGAAAGCGGAAATGACGCACGCGGGAGGTCACCGCAGGTCACGAGTGCAAGAGTGCAAGACGGACGCTGTGAGCTGTGCACGCCAGTACGAGAAATAAAGGAAGCTGGAGCTCGGGATAAGCACGATGTGGAAATGAGTGCGGCCAGCAAGGGCCTCGTACGTCAATGGCGAGGAGGGGGACAGAAGAGAGAGGAAAGGGACAGGCTTCTCCTCACACCCTCCATATTATGTGCCCCCCGCGCGCTGGAGAAGGAATAAACAGGAATTATAAATAGACGGATGCATGATGCTATCGATCCGCCCTCCCTACCTCGATCGTCAAAGTCATTTCAAGCCACCAAGCGCGGCACATGAATCTCAGACATAGAATCTCTCTCTGGGTCCAGCGCAATAATCCTCTCATTAGGGGGCTTCCAAGCGTGAGCTCCAACGAGTAGCAGAGAGCACGGAGTACAAAGTACAGAGCACAGATAAACAGGCACCGCCGGAGAACCCCCAACCCCCAACTTTCAACTTGGCAGCTTTGCACTAAGACAAGTACACGGGACTTGGGAGATGACATATAGCCTCTCCACCCCACGTGCAAGCTGCTGGCTGTACTGTACTCAATTACGAATGAATGAGAGACAGCTCCACGGAGGACGGCGCCCCGTAGTTGGTTTCGGCGAGAAGAAGCGCGTAGATCATGGTCTGTTGCGGTGATTAGCCTTTTCTTCCACAGAGGCGTAGAACGAAAATAAAAACTCTTTTGTGTATCGTACGATCCGGCACGCTGCATTCTGTACTGTAGCCACTTTAATGGACCCTGAGCGCATATGTATCAACCGAGAGCTGTGCCGTGCAACCTTCCTAATGGGCCATGCTGCAAACAAACATTGAAGTCACCGAGAGCTTCAAGCATGCATGATCATTTAATTATTCCCATCACCATTCGGGATTACACAGCATAATAGAAATGAAGGATACCTATTAGGTTGTATTGCTGTAGGTACTTCATAATCCTGACGTGTCGATTCAGCCGCAGCCCGCCAGGATCTGTAATTGCACCTTGGCCAAGGTATGTACAAGAATGTACTCGTCTGCCGTGCCGAATGCTACGATACAGGTCCAACGGGCCGTCACCTGATGACGGGGCATACAGGCTACCCAGCATGTACTTATGTTGTAAATATTACCATGCAGAACATGTATTCATCTTTTCTCCGTGGAGAATAGGGGTTTGCAAGATCTCAGCTGCATTTGCTCCATGATCAGGGAGAGACGGCTCGGCTATCAAATGATTTGCCCTGCCGCTGTAGCTGCTGCTGCTGTTGCTGCTGATCCACCGTCTGTACCAGTAGGTTACCTTACCTTAGTAAGGTACTTACTACCTGTAATTACGTGTGAGGCCATTAAGACGCGCGCAGGCAGACCCGAGAAATACGTACCCGTGAGTCCGCAATCTGGGCCTTAATCTAAATCTAAATAGAAACTGGAAAACGGATTGGTTCTAGCCGTGATTCATTCTTCGCCGCCAGTTCCATTCTACGTCTTCCATAAGCCATCATTTTGATTACTATCAGTACCTCCAAATAAGTGCTAGTAGCAACATCTTGTCCACTTGCACCAGACTGCACCTACAAGCCCGAATTACCAATCCGCGTTATTAATGCGCCAAATTCCCATTTCGAGGGACTCCAAGGAGTTCGGGGCGTAATGCCACATATTCTGAATTGGTTATGTACCTTAGTTAGTGTTTATGATACGGGGTAATGTCTCCGTAAATTAGGGCATCGGAAAACGGAATTGAAGCACGACTTTAAGCCAAGCACTGATCCACGCGACACAGTGCCGTATGCAGCACGTCAAAGGGACTTGCACAGCTATAGCCGTGTCTGCGCAGCTCCAAGTATCTTCCCCAAGTTCCCCATACTGTACCTGGCCCATCCCATCATTCTCCTTTTTTTCTCCCTTGGATTCTCAGAGCAGTTTCAGCCACAGAAGCAAACAGAAAAAAGGGCAATTGGGCACCTGTACACGCTTGTCACAATTGGCAGCACCGAAATCCCCCTGTTCAGTCGTTGGGCCACACACGCGACAAGCTACCGGTTTTCGTCACCGACGACACGGCTCGACCGCAAACTAGTGGTGGCCAATACAACCCAACATCTGCATTTTTTATTCCCTTTGCTTCAGGTGTTAGTTGATGAGGCTTTCGGCTGCGACGGGCCGGTAGGGAATCAGGAAACAAGGCCGAGAGCTAAGGTGTTGCTGATGTTGCCCTGTTGGAAGATATTGGGATCAAAACAAGATGCCCAAGTTTGATGCCCATACGATGCAGTTGGTCTTGGAGGCCGAAGCGGCACCGACTCAACGGCGGCGCCTCTCGTTCTTGTTTCTGTCTTAGTCTCGGCCACGCAATTTGTATTTCCAATAGGCCGTGGCCACCGCAAGACAAAAGTCTCCGCAGGCTCCAAGCGGAAATAAATAGGCCTGGCGCCAATGTCCGAGTCAGAAGAGCGAAAAGAGCGAGGACTGTGTGTGTATCATCCCTTTTGAATGGTCCAAAAGGAAAATATTCAGCAATCTCCATTGGCTGCGAAGCTATAGGCGCACGCCAGTGGGAGCCTTGATTGGCTCTTTGTCTTGTCATTGCTTCGGGCTTCTGGCCTTACATACTGGATGTACGGGACCATACATGGGCGCCCAATGGTATCTGGATATCTGCCGTCACGAGACATGAATGTTCTTCCCTGGAAGGATAGGACGAGGGATTGACGTGCAGATGCAGATACCGTGCCGATGCAGCAGTGCCGCTTTCCAGCGCCCGTTGGCATCCTTGAAGTCTGACGAGCAAGCATCATAAGCTGCATGTTGCGTGGAGTTTGCC